GGTCTGAATCCTCTGCATCCATGTCCAGATAACATTTCTCAAATTGTCGCAGCCTAAATCAAAGTCTGCATTCAACTTTTTTTATATTATTCTGTATTCCAGTGCCCGGGAGTCCATTACAGAAAAAATTACTTATGATGCCCTTTGGGTGATAAATGGCCTTCACATTTAGGTCCTCAATGAAAAGGAAGCTTTCAGTGTTAAAAAGAGTCTATTTGTTGGGGTTCAGTTTAAACCCTCGTGAAAACCCAGTCAAAATTCTGGTTTTCCATGGAATAAGGGATAAAGGCAGTACAGATGAATAAGGTATGCTGACAGCTGTCATCACTCATTTGTACTGGTTAAGAACTGCCTTATTCATTTGTACTGCCTTTATCCCTATTCCGTGGAAAACTAGAATTGAAAGTGAGGGCAGGGAGAAAGAAACTGGATTATGGGGGCAGATTCTTTTAGTCTATAAAGTTTCACTAAGTCTTCACTAAACCCTATATTCTTTTTTTTTTGAGTTGGAGTCTCACTCTGTCGCCCAGACTGGAGTGCAGTGGCTGCTCCCGGCCACCGCAGCCTCGACCTGCTGAGCTCCGGCGATCCTTCCGCCTCAGCCTTCCGAGTAGCCAGAATTACAGGCATGCGCTGCCACACCCAGCTGATTTTTTGGTTTATTGTAGAGAGGCGGTCTCACCAAGTTGCCCAGGCAGGTCTCAAACCTGCGGGCTCAGGCAATCCACTCGCCTCAGCCTCCCAAAGCGTGGGATTATAGGCTGAGCCACTGAGCCCGGCAACCTTATATTCTTTAAGGGGTTAATGTTGGAGATCATGTGAGAAAACTTATATGATGCAGTAACTTGGAAATTCAATTTGAATGCTCTGGAAACAAGCATCTCTCAAAGACAGCAAGGAAGTATTTGTGAGAGAGTTCTCAGGCAATACCAGTATTTTTCTTTCCCTCATCAGAATTTAGAAATTGTGATTGGGACTCCAAGGTTGCTAGATCTGTGCTGCTCAATAGAACTTTCTGGGAAGATGAGAATGCACTTCGTCTGTGCTTGTACAATATGGCAGTCTATGCTTGTACAATATGGCAGTCTATGCTTGTACAATATGGCAGTCACATGTGACTCTGATAACTGCAAATGTGTTGCAATTTTTGATTTTACTTATTACTTTAAAGATAAAAGTAGCCCACGTGGCTAGTAACAACCATATGGAATAGCACAGTAGAAGAGTAATACGTCCCAAGTTGTAAGGGGAGACATGTGGGACTCTTACCTTAGAGAACAAGTCAACAATAAACATGCAGGAAGCTTATGGATACAGGATGTGGTCTCAGGTTCACCAGAGAAATCTAGCCTTTAGTAAATTCTGCTCTTGTCATACATTGTACCTTTTTTCATTTTATTTTTATTTTTTATTTTTTTGAGTTGGAGTCTCACTCTGTCACCCAGACTGGAGTGCAGTGGCCGCTCCCGGTCACCGCAGCCTTGACCTGCTGGACTCTGATGATCCCTCCGCCTCAGCCTTCCGAGGAGCCGGAATTACAGGCACGCGCTACCACACCTGGCTAATTTTTTGATTTATTGTGGAGATGAGATCTCGCCTGCCCAGGTGGGTCTCGAACCCGCGGGCTCAGGCAATCCACTCACCTCAGCCTCCCAAAGGTGTGGGATTACAGGCTGAGCCACCGAGCCCGGCTGTATACCACCTTTTTTCAAGACTGAACAATAATTCCATCTCAAGGAAAACCTAGCTTATTCTAAGAAATACATGCTCTGGGCACTATGACTGATACTGGTTCTCAGGAACTCCAGGAGTACACACTTTAGTCATTATTGGGGGAAATGGGGCCCCAAAGCATCAACTGCTGAGTTCCTAAAAGAAGAGGGTTCTATTTGGGTCTTAGGTAACACTCCAATGTGTGGCTGCTGGGTGTGCCCATCCATCTGTAACTACAGCTTTCAGTGACCTTACCTCACTTCTCTTTTCTGTGAGTTGCGGTGGAAAAGACTCCACTCCTAAGCTAGGTTTATCCTATTTCTAGCTTCTTAAGTGCAGAAATAAGAGCCAGAGTGGGAAATAAAACCGATGATGCAAAATGTTCAGGTCAGTCTGAGTTTTGAGTGTCAACTCACTGGGTTGGCCAGCCAAGCCCCAGAGAGGGGTCTTCTTGCGCCAGAGAGGATCATTTTGAGGAGCTAGTAAACTTAGCCCCGGGAATGTCGATTCTAATGAACTGGGAAGCCACGCCCTGAAAGTGTTGCTGGCTCAGAAAACTGGCAAGCCTAGCAGCCCCTGGAGTATTTCAACTTCACAATCTTGCCTTCTTTCAGCAGCTCTCCTGGTTCAGCCGACTCCACTGGTTGGCAAGCCAGTCTCTGGGGTGCAAGCTCTTTGACACTGACAATCTACTGCAGCTCTTCAGATCAGGGATCTATGTCTCCTCCTAAGAAAACGAGGAGCAAAGCCTGAAAGTGAGAAAGCATAATTTATTAAGAGGTCAAAATCCCTCCTACAGTGAAAGAGGGTGACCGGGAAGTTACTGATTTGGAGCTGAAACTTGGTACTTATATAGCCCTAAACAGAACCGATTGGCTAGCATTAGCTGTGAGCTGATTGGTTGGTACTTGGCAGCAAGCTGGTTGGTTATTGTTCAACCCCAGCAGTGAGTATTTAAGCTCTAGCTTGATCGATGTTTTCCCATGAGAGACCAGCCGTGAGTTCGCTACATTGTTGCCAGAAGACCATCCCTGTCTGCGTGCCTAGCATTTCTCTAGCTGGCTCCTCTCTCATTGAGTACCCCCGCAAAACTGAGAGAGCCAAGGCACTTCTAGCACTGTGACAGCAGTTTCCTGACATCTAGCATAGATGTCTCTTGCCTCATGCTGCCTCCTGCATCCTCGGGCCTGCAGACAGACCTTTGCCCACAGCCCTCCATGTGTAACCCTGACTGGCCAGTCATGTGCCCGTCCAGATTGCAGGGCCCACCTGAGGCCAAGAACCGTCCCCTCACTCATCTTTGAGGGACATGCTTTTGAGACAGGGAATATACAAGGAAGAGTGCACTTCTTCGCCTACGTTTTCTGTGTGCTTGATGCTCCCACGAGGGGCTTTCGAGTGAGTTGGGGGAGAGAGAATCCACATCTGGAACTCTGCCTTGTTTGCTTTTGGTCACACTCTCATGGTGGTCTTGCAGGCCAGACTCATGGAGGCCCTGCTGTCAGTCTGGATAAAGAATTTAGGAGAGTCACATTCCCTGCCACATCACTAAGGTCCTGCTGAGGGGGAAACACGTTATATATTCATTTGCTCAGCCAAGATTTACCTTGAAGGTTCTAAGACTTTCTCTGGCTGCTTGGGAGGCATACAGAAATACCCAATCAACCCCAGACCTCCTGAGGGAGACAGATAAGGGACTAACCATAATGTAAGGGCAGAGAGGTATAAAAGACATTTGTTGCTCGCTAGGAGTGGTCCTTACTGAATATTTCTCTTTTAGGTCTACAGCAGCCTGACCGGAAGCATTCTGAGTGCGCTCTCTGCTCTAGTGGGTTTCATTCTCCTGTGTGTCTGCCTGGCTGCTTTGGGTCCTGCCTCATTGCAGTGCAAGTTGGGCAGAGAGACTACACCCACTGTGAATTATCATTCTTATTTTTCTGCTTATGATGAAAATGATTGTCCCATGGCCCAGACCAGTTTGACTGTAAGTATTTTTTTTAGATGGGATGTTCTAACTCTTTGAGGTTTCCGAAAGCCTTGATTTCTTGTTATTACTTGTTTCAAAATCTTTCTCCTCTTTCTGGTTTGGGCATCTAGGGGAAGGCCAAGATCATGTAAATAAAAGGGAATAACGGACGATATTAAGGGCCAGGTATGGGATTACATGCTAATAGATTGGAATTGAAGAGTAAACGTCCAATAAGATTGATGATGAAAAGCTAAAACTTATTGTTTGTAGAGTTTCTTAACTACTCAATGAATCCAATTTTAGAGACATAAATTATTCGTTTCTCAAGTTCAGAACCTTGGTACATGGAGTGGTGAATTAAGAACGGCAGGCCAGGTTCAGGTTCGGTGGCTCAAGCTTACAATCCCAGCATTTTGGGAGGCTGAGGCAAGAGGATTGCCTGAGCCCACAGGTTCGAGACCAAACCAGGCAACTTGACGAGACCTCGTCTCTACAATAAATAAGAAAACAGTTGGGTGTGGTAGCGCATGCCTTGGAAGGCTGAGGCCGAAGGATCACCTGAGCCCAGCAGGTCAACTCTGGAGTGGCTGTGAACGTGCCACTGCACTCCAGCCTGGGTGATGGAGTGAGACTCCAACTCAAAAAAACAAAAAAACAAAAAAACAAAAAATGGCAAACAGGTGTGGTAGATCATGTCTGTAACCCCAGCACTTTGGGAGGCTGAGGTGGGAGGATCACTTGAGCCCAGGAATTCGAAACCAGCCTGGGCAACATAGTGAGACCTCGTCTCTAGTCCCTACCAAAAAAAAAAAGAAAAATTAACCAGGTGTGGTGGTGCTTGCCTGTAGTCTCAGCTACTGGGGGGTCTGAGATGAGAGGATTGCCTGAGATCAGGAGGTAGAGACTGCAGAGAGCCATGATCATGTCACTGTACTCCAACTTGGGCAACAGAATGAGACTCTGTCTAAAAAACAAAAACAAAAATAAAAAAGAGCAGAGAGACCCAGGTGATCAGAAACTGCCAACAACAAAAAATTGTGGTATGTGTGTGTGGTGGGGAGTTAATTTGATCTGAAAACACATGAGAGCCAGCACTAAGAAATGAAAGCAGGAAGTGCAGGGTTAGAAGGTAAAGGCTTCTCTCCTCCCTCCAGTTTTCACAGTAATGAGTAGCACTGGCCAGGAGAGAGCACAACATCATTGTTGATTTTTTGTTACAACCTAAAGAAGTTTGGCATGTTAAATTAGGAGATAAGAACTATAGTGAGATAGAGAATGTTAGTTGATAATGACTATAAGGGAATTTTATCTCTTTGGAAGGAGGAAGGCAATGGAGTTTGGCTAAGAGAAATAATATGTTTTAAGTTGGAAGATCAAGGAACATGTATGTGGTCAGCAACACATTGGGAAAAAGCCGGCAGCCTAAGAGTAAAGAGGTCACAGAATATTTATTGTCCTACGGTCATGAAAGTGTGATAAGCCAAGGACTCAGCTGGAAGATGGACAGACAGAAAGGTCTGGTCAAACTCATGTTTGCACACCAGTTCTTATGGAGCCAACTTGCTTCTTTCCAAGTCAGTGACATCGTAACATGAGAAAGTATACATGAAAGAGGCTGACAGTAAATTGGCATAAATTCACATTTGGCACAGGCAATTTCACCTTGGGAAAAATTATGGAAAAACATCTGGGAGGAATTTTGTAGTGGATAAAGTATGAATTTGTGGTGGGACGATTTTACATTGTAAATACGAGATTGCATGGCGCTTGCTGGAACAGTTTCTAGGTAATGGAGGCAATTTGCATCTCTTCTTTAACTATGTGTAACTATGCTTCCTGCAATCAAATCATCTCCCCTTTTTATTTTATCAGATGGCCAGTTTTGCATGAAGGATGGTTCAGGATAGGAATGGTAGAACTTACCCTCTTGGTGTGGTTTCTGTTTGTGTTGGTTTGGGCTATATTAGCATTTGTGGATGTGGTTGCTACTTTGATTGCTTTTTCTAACTCTTACACACACACACACACACACACACACACACACACACACACACACACACACACACACATAGCCAAGGAAGCCCATTCAAAGGGGTTCAGATACATGGAAAGAGGGTCTCAATACCAAATTTTATAATAAAAATCTCATTGATTCTTATAAAGAATCAATGCATGTTCTACTAATGCTTAGTAGAACATGCAATATCTTCTACTAAGAAATTTATTAGTAGAAGATAGGCTACTAAGAAATTTATTAGTAGAAGATAATATCTTCTACTAATAAATTTCTTAGTAGAAGATATTGCATGTTCTACTAAGCATTATGCATGTTTTATAAATAAGGGAAGAAGTAGCTAGATAAGAAGAGAGACTTGTCCAGGTCCACAGGTACTATGCACTAAAGTTGGAACCAGAATGGGAACTGTTGACGCTCAGTCCTGGAGTTACTGCACCACTCTGCTTTCTTACTGAGTGGACAATGTCATCAACATTATCTGTGTCTCAAAGAGGTAAGAAGTAGGTGTACGTAGTGGGTTAGTTGATTTACTTACTACTCATTGTCCCTCCTCTCAAGTGAATACATGAGCGAAAGGATTGAATTAAACCAATTATGATGTAGGAAGAGCAGTTTTCTCTTTCTGATGGTGTCCTACTTTCATCTCTGATGGTTGAGGTAGTCTTCATCTCCACAGTCATCTCCAAACCAGGCATGGCATGAAAACTTCGGTTGCACCACTAATTTTTTATTTCCTGGTTTTCAGGGAGCTATGTCTATGATGCTGATTTGCACGGTGCTGGAGTTCTGTCTAGCTGTGCTTATGGCTGTGCTTTGGTGGAAACAGGCTCATTCTGATTTCCCTGGGGTGAGTGTGCTAGCAGGCCTGACTGAATCTTGCCTGATGCATCTCTGGGCTGTGTTATGTCACCAAGAGTGACAGAAGGAGCAATCAGTAGGAGCAATCATGAGCTATACATGGGAAGTGGTTTCAATGGTGATGAAAGACAGATAAGGAAAGTAGATGACAGTAAAGCAGCCAGCCAGCTGAGGATTCACTGGATGTGAAGATAGTTAAGTCTGAGAAATCAATTTGTTTAATCTTCCCATTTTGCCAGTGAAAGGATCAAGGCTCTTGGAAATTAAGTGACTTGCCTGGCATTATGCTATGAGTTTGTGTCTATGCTCAGGACACTAGAACTTGTGAAACCTCCCTTCTAAACAGGAACACTTTCTGCCACAGCCACTAATCTTTTTAAGAGTCTTGATCTGGTATTTGCACATGTGATTGAATTCAGTAAATGTCTTATGTTCTTCTATTTTTCCCTTCTTGTGGTCTTAAAATTCCTTTTGCCTAAAATATATTTTAAATTTATTGTTGAGTCAGTTTCCCATGGGACATCACTCTACCATCATTATGGACTCATAGCTTCATTTAGCTGAATTAAAAAAGTCTTGATTCATTCAAAATTTTATTATAGAAAGTAGAATAAATACTAGACTGAAAATAGCAATTGTTTAAAGGACTTAATTATGTGCTATAATTAGCTTGGAATAACTAAGAATTCTATGTATACAGTTGGAGGAAATGGTATCAAGATAGAGATAATAAGCTGAACCTGAATGAAGTCTGATGACCTAATATGTCTTGTTTCTTCTAGAGCGTGCTTTTTCTGCCTCATAGTTATAAGGATAAACTCAGCACGTCCTCAAATGTGCATTGTGACCCTGGATATGAAGAACTATTGTCTCCGTAGGAAAAAAAAAGGCAAAAATATTCATCAGAAAGTTGATCTTTATAATATAGAAAACTTAACCATTATTTTTTTTTAAAAGAGCAAAGTTTGAGTTTCCTAAATGTAGGCTTTTAAAGTAATGGATTTTTTAAAAAAAAGTTTTCTTATCATTGAATGCATGTGTTCCATGACAATCTCTTGATTTGTCTGCACAGAGCTGTAAATTGTCATTTAATAGGACTCTCCAAATAGCCATTTCCTAGAAAATTTGGCAGAATTTGGCAGTGGACCATGGTGAAGCAAAGGGCACAACTTTTTCTTGGATCCCTGAAATGTCAGAAAGAGTTAAGTAATTTGGTGTGGTTTTCGAACTCTTAGAGTAAGGGCTGGTGTTTTATCACACTATTTTACTCATGACTGCATGGAGACAAGCCCCCTGCAGTGAAGTCTCAGAGTGTATAAAAGCAGCTGCCTTCAAAATAAAATCTTCATTGGAGTGCATATTTCATTTGAATACTTGGTTTGTTATTTTTCCTTTGAACACAGAGTAAGTCAACAATGATACATATAAACCTAAATTTGAAATCTCTTCTCTCCCCACCTACTAGTCAATCAAAACTAATAAGCAAATAGAAGTTAACTCAGAATGCTTGTTATTAAGAGACAACCAGTACATTTTTTTAATACAAAGGAACTATTGTTCAAGTGTAAATGTTAAGCCTCACATGCACACACACACATGAGCACGCGCATATACACACACACAAGTGTGGAAAAGCATGTCAGTCTTACTTGAGCTTTGTTTCTTGAAAGATCTTGCTGTGTTTCCCCTGCTCTGACCCACTGCAGCAGGGGTCACATCCACTGTATCAGATGTTATGACTAGCAGACAGTTTCCTTGCTCTTTTTTGCCAATCTGAGACTGAGATGTCAGTTTCTCTGGTTTTGACTTTATCTTCAAATTCGAGTCATTATGTCTACTCTCTGTGTTTTACCCCCCCCATTTCTCTTATTTATTTACTTGTTGCATATGCTCAGCCTTTATTGATACTTTTTGAGTACCAGACACTATGCTTCATGTCAGGTTACCATGGTGAATAAGATGCACTCCTTGGCTTCAAGGAATTTACAGTCAAATAGGGGAAACGGATGACAATAAAATCAGAAATGTACACAGGGCACCAAGCACAGAATCAAAAATACCCTCTTCTGCCTAAAAGAATATAGAGGATAAAGAGGTGTGTGTGTGTGTGTGTGTGTGTGTATGTGTATGTGTGTGTGCAAGTATGTGTGGTGTGTGAGAGAGAAAGAGAAACCTTCCTTTGAAAACTTCACCTCCCCAATGTCAACCACATGGCACCACCTTCCTACCCCTGGGAAGGAATATGACCCAGAATCCACAATTGGTATATTCATCAACTTGGCAGCCTTTCATTCCAGCTTTGTTCTTCACCTCCGGCCACCATATCACCCACAATGCCTCCCTCGTGATTATCCAGTCTAATTTCTGGTATCCAGGTTTCCTCCAGGGTCTCTCTTTAGCTTTGACCTGTTTATCAGAGGAGTCTAGCCTTTAGGTAACACTCAAAGGCACTTTATTATCCTAGGCTCAACCTCAATGCTAAGTGAGCTGTCCATACCTTTTCTTTCCAGTAGCAATGCCTCTCCAACTTGAGTCACATGAGAATGGCGTCTATCTTGAGATAGGATGATGTATTAAGGTGACATGTCTAAAGAAGTTACATTGTATCTGGCACATGGAAGATGCTCTGTTAACTTGGGTTTTATTCTCTATGTTGTCCCCTTCCCTTTTCACTTCCTTACATCAAGTTGACCCTCTATGACCAAAACAAACTTAAACCCCAATACCCCTCTGGGAGTTTGAAAGCGATTATTCTCATCAAATTTTTCACTTCAAGAAAGTTTGTAGAGTGCTTTGAACAGGGAGTCTCAGATTGTATAGAAAGCTTGTTTTCCCTTGCTTTTGAAACAGAGAAAGATTTTAGAATTAATGGCCTTTTCAGTTTTTGCACAGTTGAGTCTACCGACACCAAATGATGATGAGAAATAATTTTCCACCCCCCAAAGATACGTAGAAAAGGCAAATCAAAGTACTGTGCCTCCCTGTGACATACCCTTGAGGCAATTAACTTGACCACTGGAAATCACACCTGCAAACTTTGTTATTTAAAATGTCTCCATATGTCATCAGTGATGGGGAACTATGCATCGTTTATAAATTATTTATTATTTACATTGGCAAAGGTGTTTACCATACAGATAATAACTATAAAAGAGCTGGAATAGTTATATCTATATTAAATAAAATATACCTTAAGATAGGAAATAGTTTTAGAGGGCCGGGTGTGGTGGCTCACTCCTGTAGTCCCAGTACTTGGGGAGGTCGAGATGGGAGGATTGCTTGAGCCCAGGAGTTTGAGACCATCCTAGGCAACAAAGGGAGACCTCGTCTCTACAAAAGGTAAAATAAAATTAACCAGGCATTGCGGGTGTGCATCTGTAGTTCCAGCTACTCAGGAGACTGAGGTAGAAGGATCACTTGAACTTAGGAGGTTGAGGCTGTGGTGAGCCATGATCATGCCACTGTACTCCAGCCTGCATGATAAAGTGAGACCTTGACAAAAAAAAAGGTAACAAAGAAGGAAAGATTATTAGAGAGAAAGAGGGATATTTTATAATCATGAAATAGTCAACATCACATTTTATCATACATTTGTAAATGAAAAATTTGACAATACAATTGTAAATGTATGAGACCTAATAACTGATCCTTAAAATAATATGAGCTGAAAATGTTAAAGTTGAAAGAATTAGAAAACTTATACTACTAGCTGTATTTCAATAGCCTAATCTTCTTTACTCATAGAAAAACTAGACAGAAAATCAAGAAAGAAATAAAATACTTGAATGACTCTGTTCGTCAACTGATACATATGCCATGCACCACTCCCTCACTGAACTGCAGGACACCAAACTTTTCACATGGAACAGTGCACATGGAACAGTGTTCAGTATAGACCATGCTGGAGGCAGAATTTTAAGATGACGGCTAATAACCATCACCCTTGCATCCCTGGCCAATTCTTATTTCAACCATGTGACTTCACAAGCAGGGAACCCATTCACACACACCATATTCAATTCCAGATCCAAGGAAACTGTGAAATAATAAATTTAGACTACATTGAACCACTAAGTCTGTGACTATTTATTTATTCCATAGCAGTAGAAAACTAATACAAAGTACATATGTTTGGGGAATTCTCAGATAAGCAGATTTTAAATTACTCACTCTTAAATTAACCACAGGTAAAGAAATCACTAGGGGAATTAGAAAATATTTTGAATTGAATAAGAAAGAAAAAACAACACACAAAAATATATGGAATACAGTTGAAGTATAACTTAAATGGAAATGTATAGCTTTAAAACTGTAAATACACTATATTGAAAACAAAATGGTCTCAATCAATAACCCAATTGCCCTCTTTAAAATAATTTTTTTAAAGAAAGACAAACTAAATGTAAAGTAAACAGAAATATGGAAATAATTTTGATTAGAGTATAAATTAAAAAAGAAAAATAATAGAGAAAAATCAATAAAATCAAAAGTTTGTTCTTTGAAAAGATCAACAAAATTGGCATAATTTATTTAGACTGATCAAGCATGTATAAGAGAAAAGACACGTTATCAAAATGAGTTATAGAAGATTACTATTGACTCGACAGAAATAAAAAGGATTATAAAAGAATACAATGAACAACTTTATGCCAACCTTTACATAATTAGATGAAATTTTTAAAAAGGACATAAAGTACAACAAGTGGCCCAAGAAGAATTAGAAAATATGACTAGATCTGTAACAATTGCAATTGTATTAAAAAAAAACTTCTCAGCAAGTAAAGTTACATTTCAGCTTCTCTTTCAAAATTGCATCCCTACCTTTCATCTACTCAAATGATACCAATTCTAGGCACCTAGAAACACCCATAAAATCCATCAATGAGCTACAACCAGTGTTTTTTACGACCCAGTACTTTTCTACGACACCAGTTCTATAAAAGTGAGTTGGTTTCTTTGTGTGTATCAGAAGCTGAGGTTTCTTGGTTGTGGCTACAATGTGATGTTTGCATTTTAGATTTACAAAGATTCATCATGTGTGCCCTTGCCTTTTGGGGCTTCTGAGCTGAGTATTCTAGTTTTCAACATTGACCTTAGTGGTTACAAGAATTCCTTTTATATTTTCATAAGTCGACTTGGTTTGACTAATTTCTACTTGTATGATCTAGGACCACTTCTCAACTTCTATTTTTTTCCTAATTATAAAATACAGATGAAAAGTCGATCTGTAAGTCATATAAGGATTGGAAGATAAAGCTGAACATTTATCACACTTAATTAGTTAAATGTTGGTTGCATACCCATTCTCCTAAGATTTGGTTAAGAAAATTGGGGTCATTATTCTCATCTTGCAGAAGTGTACTCTGTGAAGAATAAGAGAGTTTGACACAGGGAAGGGACTAGGGTTCGAAGTTATCTTTTTTGATAGGAGCACTTTAAAAACATTTAGAATTAATTAATATAAATATTATAATTCTAAGGAATTCTAGTCCAAATTTTAAAAAATTAAGTGAAAATTGAAATACTGCGACATAAATATTATCAGAGAAGTTCAGGAGGTTGTTAAAATATCTGTATTCAAAGTTACAACCAGTCCTATATACATTGGGGTAAATCGGCATTGCCACTGCATGAGAGAGCGCCACCCACTCAGTTCTGTTCACATATGCAGGTTTCCTCGCTCAGATGAAGGGAATAGGGGGGACTTCCCCTGTGCCATGTGTCTTTGGGCTCATGGATAATGTCTCTTTTACATTGCCCTTTTGTTAAAAGGAAAACCTAGAAAAACCTAGATCTTGCCGTTGCTGCTTATATTGGTCCTGTTGATTTTTGGATTGTGCCAATAAATGTGTTCTAGATAACCATTTAAAAAAA